TTTTTTCCTTTGTTTTTTTTTTTTTTTTTTTTTTTTTGGAGGGGGTGGGTTTCGGTATTTTTGTTCCAACCATCTGGCAACCCTACACATGGCTGGTCCGTGTGTGTGAGACATGGACCTGGGAGGTCTGAGTTCTGGATGAGACTCATGGTTGCTGGGCGCTGTACTTGTGGTAGATACACCGGTTCTGGGTGGGTGAGACGGGACGCACCCAACTACCCTTGCGGGGGGCTGAGGCGGGGGGCTTGTGTCAGTTGTGGATGCCTTTTGGGGGGCCCCTCCTAGACTTTGCGGATGTTCACATCACAGCAGCCTGCACATCTCACCTGTCCTGTGGGTGGAACCGAATCGGGGCCCTCTGGAGCTTAGTGCAGCAGCCTCTACCGCGGGAGCTACAAGCCAGCTGGCGCTCCGCAATGGCCGTAGAGCAGCAGCCGGGAGGGGTCTCAGTGCCACCCCAGCAGCTCGTGGGCTCCCTAACTCGTTTGCTTCTTTCCCCTCTGAGATAAGAAGGGGAGGAGCTAACGGCAAAAGCGATTGTCGAAAGCAGCGTGTGATTAAATAAAACCAGCCACTTCCTCCAGAAGGCCTGGGGAACTCCTACCGCCTGGGACTGTAGGAAATGTTGTTTCCTGGAGTAACAGCTAACACACGCGCACACTCAGAGAGCAGAAGCAAATGTCACAGAAACACACACACATTCTGCAGAGAGCCACACACACACTGCAGAGAGCGGAAGCAAATGTCACACAAACACACACACACATTCTGCAGAGAGCAGCACACATAAACCATCTTGTTAGTCTTTAAAGTGCTACATTGTCCTGCATTTTGCTTCAGCTACCCCAGACTAACACAGCTACATCTCATCTACTATACATACACCACAGAGAGCAGAAGCAAATGTCACACAAACACACACACATTCTGCAGAGAGCCACACACACACACTGCAGAGAGCGGAAGCAAATGTCACACAAACACACACTCTGGAGAGAGCAGCACACACACACACTGCAGAGAACAGAAGCAAATGTCACACAAACACACACACACATTCTGCAGAGAGCAGCACACATAAACCATCTTGTTAGTCTTTAAAGTGCTACATTGTCCTGCATTTTGCTTCAGCTACCCCAGACTAACACGGCTACATCTCATCTACTATACATACACCACAGAGAGCAGAAGCAAATGTCACACAAACACTCTGCAGAGAGCAGCACACACATGTGCACACACCGCAGAGAGCAGAAGCAAATGTCACACAAACACACACTCTGGAGAGAGCAGCACACACACACACTGCAGAGAACAGAAGCAAATGTCACACAAACACATGCCTCAGAGAGCAGTACGCACACACTGCAGAGAGCAGAAACAAATATCACACAAACACACACACGCACACTGCAGAGAGCAGAAGGGAATGTCCTTGACTTGGCTTTGCTGAGATGAACCCCCCTCTCCCCCCCCGCGCAGGTGCACACTGACAGGGTTGCTTTTTGTCTGATCCCGCCTTGCAAGACTTTTTTTTTAAACAAATACCCTGAGTTATCGGTGTGTAGCAGGAGCCAAGCCGATTGCATCAGCCCAGTGCTAGGGCAGCCCAGGAAACGTCTGTGGCTAACACAGCTGTGTGCGAGAGAGACCAGTTTTGTAGCTGTGCACTGTGTGGGTGTGTGTCTCCGCTGGCGCACTTGCGTGTGTATATTTGTACGTGTCTGTGCGTACACAGTCATATGCACTTGAACCGATCAGTGTGTCAAAAGGTGCATCTGGGCCTCTGTGTGAAGGAGTGTGCGCAAGTCGATTTTGTGAGCATGTGTATGTGAGTCTGTGGGGGGGCGTGCATAGGCAAGTGTGCACTTGTGTGAGAATACTGGAACATGTCTGTATATGCATGCATGTGTGCAAAGTGTGTGGGGGCAGCCCCAAAGTGCTATCTAAAGTTTACTCTCTGTCTGTCTGCCTCACACACACACACACACACACACACGGTAGACTCCTGTTTGTTTTTCCTTGTCTTTGCACACAAGCACACATTTGTGCAAATGTGCGTGTTACAGCCCTGAAGTGATATCAGGAGTTTACACACGCACACGCACTCCTGCTGCACGAGCCGTGCTTGCTTTTCCTTTTGTGGCACTTGCAAATACCCACACGCTCACGCTGGCCCCAGGCTGGAGAACAGGTGTGCTGGCACGGGGGTTCAGTGCAAGGTCACTGAGCACTAGTACCCGGCTCAGCCGGTGCCGGTGAGTCAGAAGGGGGCGTGCCAGGGTGCATTAACACTGAGTCGCCAAGACCGCCACGGCAGCGTGCCTCCGTCCTCGTGCGAGGAGAGACATCCACGCTGCCCCACGTCCGGGCAGTCCACAGCCTCCTCTCACCTCGGGGAGGTGACTCCAGGTGTTGCAGGGCAGGATGCAGGCTGGCATGACGGGCAGGGCACCCGTGAGCACCAAAGGTGGCAGCCACGGGGAGAGGAGGGCAGAGAGCAATTCCCTGCCGGGCACCGCAGGGAGGGCCCAGGGCTGGCTTCCCCCTTATGCCTGGATAAGTCAATAAATCGTCGGAGCTGTGAGATTATTTTGCAGCCAGGGCCAGAGACCGTCGGCGGAATGGCTGGGGGGGGTCGTGCCCAGCTGTTCCCTCCTTGATGGGGTGTGTCTGCCGTGAGCTGCATCCCGTGGCCAGCGAGCGGGGTGATGGCCGGCAGGACGAGCGGGGGGGGCGGCA